AAAGTAATTTCGGTAGCCCAATGATTTAAGCAGGCCGCCTTCACCATTTAATTTAAGTAGCTAGCTGGAATTCAGGTTTTTTGAACTGATTCAGTATTTTGATCTGAGTCAGACATTTTATATTGCTCTTGAGCTGGGCTCCAGACAAATGGAACACTCGTGCGGTGTTCATATAGCTTATAAGTATAAGGCGGCCTGCTTAAATCATTGGGCTACCGAAATTACTTTCCTCCAAAATGTTTAATTTCATCTGGATTTATCATTGTTTTAATCGTCCAGTTATATCAAATGATCTTTACATAAACTTTCGCGATGATTTAACTTGCTCCCAAGTAAACGCTGTACAATTCTTCAACGAAATGAAGATATACTTCAGATTATTACTTTACATGTGAATCCTGTGTGAAGAAAAAAGTACTTTGGAGCTGAATACGATGGTCAAACTAAATAAAATCCACTTTAAACAATAACCACACGTAGTCTTGAATACAAATTTCTAATTATGTGTTATTTTTTTCATTCCTACACATTCAAGTTGGAACATAGGGCTCTAAGTTTTGAGCTTTTAGTTGTTGTGTCGCTCATTTTATGGGATGGGACTGTTAGCTCCATTCCCACCTTCCATTTTTACCGTGCTTACTACTGGCTATTAAACCCAGATCCCATATGTGACTGTCACGAATTCTACGACTTGACCACCGACCAAGCCATCGCCTCCCTCGACGAGCAATGTTAGCGGATATAGGGTCAGGCTGGAAAAAAGCTAGCGGCGGTCAAACAAAAACTTGGCATCAGTCAATGAAATCGACAACAGTTGGTCTAAGCCACGTAGAAAGGTGTAGACTTCCAGGCTGGGGTCCTCGGGACGGTAAAAATCTATGGTTGGAAACAATTGGTGACATGGCTCAAAACCGTTCTCAGTGGCTAGCGCAGATGCATCCACTCCCTGTGACTTATGATCTTCAATGAAACTGTTTTGTATTTCTTTATTACTCCTTTGTCTCACACCTCTGCTCACTGTTTCTATTATGCTTTTCTTGTACTTTCTTCTCTTGCTTCGTGTGCTACACGGAATGTGGCGACTTGAACTTCCGCACATTTGTGCAAAGTTCTATGTCGAAAACAGATAGACAGACAGACAGACCACCGACCAAAGTAATTTATGATTAGTTATTTTGAATAAGACGTTTTAGGAGATACAGAGGAAAATTTGGTGTTATATTCATACGACATGCTCGAATATATATTAACTAATTAGTCATCTAGTGTAGTGATAAACAGGAAGCAACGAACCTCTCATGAAGACTCATAATAATGTCAGTGAAATGACAAACTAACCGATTGCAGCTGGATGTCGTAGCTCTGCTAGTACAGTCCTAAACTGCTGTAATTAAAGGGATTTTGATGCAGATTCTTCCGTGACCTACATTTTTGCTATCCACGCCTTAGTCACCATCTCTCATTAACTCAATAATAGTCTCCCAATCTCAGGTTATCTTAGATAGTCTTGTGAAGTGTGCTACTGGTAAGAATTTGTAAATGGTTTATTGGTGACGTATTCTGCAAGAATATTGAATATTAGTGACGACCTAAGTTACAAGGAGGAGAAATTAAGAGCATTCTCTAGGCATAAATATAGAAAGGGTGGAGTGAAGCAGAGTAAGAATAGGATTTGTCAGCTGAAATCTCGATACAGGGTATTTTTACGTTTTCACATCAATGTTCATCATTCTGCTACTAAATACCACTATGATAGACCGTTACAACAGGTCTCGTTGCCATCGTCAAAGGTACTATAATTGATGGTCTTTAAAGAGATAGTGAGGACATTTTTGAGAGATTCAGAATCTATAGCCAACCTGACTGGCGTGTGTGAGTAGAAGGAGGTAGTTCGTATGGAGCTGGTGCAGAGACGTGGTAGAAGGAGGTCGTTGATAAGCTGGTTTCAGAGTTTGACAGGACAGATGACAGACAACAAACATTGAAGAAATGTACAACCCCATGGTCTGATACAGATGATTTCGGCAGTAACGCTGATAAATCTTCTAAGATCTGCCTTATCAAGTGTAGATGAAGATTCAAAAGTTCACATTCTAGTTTCTCAGTTAATGGAATATTTCCCTACCAACCTGTGAACATGAACGAACTGATGGAAATAACAGAGAACTTCATTTCCTAACTTTACAACTTTAATCCGTCTTTCTGCTATTCAGGATTCTGGCAGAAACTGTCACTAATACACTACTTACAAAATCTTTTAAGTGTTGTAGCCACTTATACCTCACACTATCAAATAACATATATGACAAAAATGATAATAATTAAGTAGTCTCATTAAGTGTTCATGTGAATTTAAATTCATTTTAGAATTAGGCTCACATGTGTAATTTTCTACACTTTTTAATCCATAATATGTTTATCAGATGAGGGACTTATCACTCTTTTAATACTCACAGTATTATGACAAAATTTGAAGGCTAATGAGAAATTATTTCTTGTATATTGGTTCAGAGACGATGGTGGATGCATCATCACAACTAATTTCTAATAGATTCTCATTAAGACCTATTTCCCACACTAGATACTAAAGACCAATCAGATAAGCAGATCAGTCATCAAGGAACTCTAGAGCTGAGTGAACTGCCTACAACCAACTAGGAGTGGTTGAACATACCTTGTAGAGACCTTCAAGTGATTTCAGTCGACAGGTCATCAGAAAGAACCCAATGGAAAAGCTGCAGGTTGGGTATCAGTTCAAGCAAAATATGCAGAAGATAACGTGAGGAGGGGTAAATGAAATTTTAGGCAGAGAACTGAGTGGAGTGAATAATAATAATAGTGTTAAAGCTAATCATAATGGGCCGCAGGATTCTGTCTCATTGGTGAAGCAATAAGATTACTTAACGTAGCCCTATGACTACCCAGTTAATACAAAATGGTTGAATTAAGTTTTGTTACTGTTAAATTCTTAAGTCATTTAACTCTTTCTTGGAAATTAAAATAGTTAACTGTGAAGACTGAGTTAGACACATTCATTTCCGCCTCATCATGAAACTGACAGCCAGTGGACTTTATTAAATCATTATTTCACAATTTACGACTGGGAATTGGCATCGGTCGTCCCATTATAGAATCCACTCCATTCCGGTAGGGGGTCAGGTTTCAATTCTTGGATGACACACTTGTTAATATCGCCTGGTTTACTAGCTACCAGTGAAGAGGGTAAATCGGACGTGAGATTAAAAACTACATCCCGTCAAAATAACATTACCGTACCTTCTGAAACTTCAAAGGTAAAAACACTACGTTCTAATCGGAACGCATTGCAAAAATATATTGGTCAGAGTGGACTTCCCCTTCGTCTTCGAATCCAAGAACATAAGATAAATGTAAAAAGAGACGTATGTTTTCAATCCTTCATAATAATACACCCAGACAATTATGGGAGCCAATTTGAGTAGGAAAATGTGAGGTGTTTTAACGGCAAAATACTAAAAATGCTGGAGAATTCCTTACAGCCTGGTACTCGGATTAAGCAAACTGCAGTCAACAGATATATGGACGTAAATCAAATTTTTCAATTAATAAAGAACAAGTTACATGACGAAAGTGTAAAAAAAACTCGAATTCCAGGTCAGTTAAGCAAACAGTGCCAATAGAAATAAACACAAAGCTAAAATGACCTCTGAAGATAACCAGTCATAATTAAGGTCATTCGGAGAGACACTTATCTAACTCATGCTGAATTCCGATACGGGATGGGATTGCTAGCCTCTTACCTAATCTTCCCTCTTCACCAGTCTAATTACTGGCTTGGAGAGGTAAAGGAGTGCGGCGGCCTGGAATCGAACCCCGGACCACCTGAGTAGCTGGCTAGCATTCTGCCTCTTCGCCACCGACGCACTTCTGAAAACTAGGATGAGCATATGTCTACAAAATAGGAGATTAGCCCAACTGCTAACTGAACTTAATGATCCTATTTCCCAAACAACTGATGTGTGTTGACAGATAGTTCTAACGACCCACTTCTATTGGTTAGCATCCAGTGTGTATAATTCTCTCTGTGATTGTGAATTAGTCACGACCTGAACAACTTAGTGGTAAAATCTCTGGTCTTAACATTCAGTGATGCCGGTTTGAATCTTAAACGAGAAATCCTGAAAAATGGTAGATGCTTTCTATCTGTTGATAGTTGCTGACAAAAAAATAAAATCCGAATGTGAATCTCCGCATTACCGGAATAGTGATAAGTGATGCATAAGATATTTGCTAGCTGCATATTCATCGACGCTGCAACTTGGCATAGAAATGGTGAATCAACACCGTCTATAATTGAACAAGTTTTGCTTATATGCAAGAATAATCCTTTTGAATTAAATGTAGACAGTTAGCATAAAGTTGGCAAAAATGAATGGAAGCTTTCATAAATTTGGAAAAATGCTGCTGTAACGAGTCATTAGAAGCATTTTCGAAATGAACACGCCTTCTTTCTGATTCAGACTCTTGAAGCTTCGATTTTTATTGAAATGAAGGACAATTTGGTCAGTTTATCGAATTCGCACGATAAAACTACTCACAGTAACAGCTCTCGTAAATGGAAATAATAAATATTAGGGGAGATATCCTCATGAACCCATATGAATTAGAGAACGCCTGAAAAATACAAGGAGCACTGGACAGTTGCTTCGGTCTTTTCAGTAATACACTGGATTTGACCCTCCGGGTTCAAATCCAGTAGCTTCACGCTACGAGATTAACCCGCTGAACTTCTGATCATTACTATCGATGATGATCCACTGTTTTAAGTTAACAGTAGAATTTATTAGTCTAATCAGTAGTATAATGCGGGTGATTTTTAAGCATTTCTGCTCAAAATATCGTAAACAATTCTGAATTCGATTATCAGCTAGGTAGATCTATCATCATATTGTTTAGAAAACAATTACAAAAAATTATCAACAATACCAATAATGAATTGTATCATAATAAAATCAACATACCAAACAATGTCTCGCATTAAATTTGATGCCTTAATTTACAGTCTAATTGAGTTTGGAAGATGTGAATGCTAGTGTGCATTAATTATTTTAGGCATCATCACTCTGTGTCTCTACATGTATCACTTCGATCTTCATTGATTTCAACCAATGAAATACACCCAACCATGATAATAAACAATTTAGTAGACAGCCAATAAAATTCGAGGGAATTTTGTTGAGTTAATTTAGTCTTTTTACTGACTAAAATGTATCATTACAAATTCAGCGACAGCTGCCCGTAAACTTATGCGAAAGATAATCATTTAGATAGCGGGAAAGTCATAAAATTTCTTCACAGAAAATATAGCACTGATGTTGAACGAAAGTAACTGCATCTTCGTCTTTTGAGTGCTTCATATAATGAATAACCACCATCATGCTAGGGATCACATGATTCTGAGGCGGGCATATTACTTCTGAAAAATTCACATGACAAAAATGTCGAAAAGGGAGAATGATCCATGTCAGTGAAACGATCGATACAAACACAAATTAACATTTCAGAGATTAGATCGGGTGATGGTGTTCCGTCTAATGAACAGGAACTTTTGAATAAATATGTTATGTGGTTTGACGAAATCGTAAAAAGTGCTGGACCTGAGTTTCATGCTTATTTGGCACTCCTATCAGCATGACGTGTCTGCAACTACTGAGGGTACATATATCCCCTTGGAATTTGCACCCGCTTTCTCCTCTGCTGTAGTCTTACACTTTATCACTGAGCTACTCAAACCGATGTATGCCACTAAACACGAGACATAGGTCCAGGGCTAGCAGTCGGTTGCTAGCTACCTAGCCATTGAACATGAATTTAAAAAATGCACCGTGTTAGTGCGTTATCTAGCTGGGCGACTGTATTGTGAATTGCATACAGCATTAAGACTATGGACTTGACACAACACTCGCAGGTTGCTCTCTAGTGACCAATCAGAAGGATGATCTCAGAATATTTTAGTAGCTTAGTATGTTTGATATGGTAAGACAACAGAGCTATTATTTTTCCTACAACTGAACGGACTTTAGAAATTACAGAAAGTATTTATAGCTCAAGGTATTATTGTTGTCATTAAAGTGTCCGTTGAGCTTATATTATCTGTCACACTACTGTCAACAGCTTTCCATTCTCAGTTCTTAATTTGCAGAGATTTTATAGGTTTCAGGTTAGGTAACCAAATGACATCGGTTTTGTAAAGCAGCGAAGATAAGAGATTACTGGTCAGCTGTTTTATCCCAGTTTGGAACTCTTCAGCTTTATGCCTCCATGACCCCACCGGGAATGGAATCCAAGACGTACTGAGTCTTGAATGACAGAATTTACAGTTCATAGAACATCTTTGTCCGTCCAAGTAGCTGAGTGGTCAACGATCTCGCCTCGTAATCTGGAAGTTTTGGCTTTGATTGCTTGTACAGTGAGGGGTGAATTTTGCTGAAGAACCTCGAAGTAGGACGAAATAGCTGCCCAGTCCTAACTGCTGGTTTTAAAATGTTCCTCAAATAATGTCAATTTGTTACCTAATTCCTGATTCGCGGACTAATTCACTACTTACAGTTTACAGAGTCCAATGTGAAATTTCACCACAACTTCCTTTGGATACGGAAATTAATCATATCACAGTGTGTGATCTACTTGATAGCGTCACTGCCACTCAAGAAAGCATTCCTAAATGCATGATAGTATACATTCTGCTGATTGATTGATTGATTGATATGAATAGTTACTCCTTACTTATTAGCCAGTAGTGCTTTCTGGCCAGGTCACTGAAGTGATCTAAACGTTACACGACCGTTTCACTCGTTTGTCGCCAAGCTCGTCGGCCGTGTGCTGGGTTCAATTCTTTTCAGACGGCCAAATCTAACTAGCAGCCACTCTGATTCCTTCAGGTTAACCTCTGATTTCTGGTCATACATAAACAAGTTTTAAAATACCTGATGCTAATATTACTTGGCACACTATTTGGTTTAATTTATAATGTCTCGAAAACCGCTTTTACTGTATCTATTATTATGAGCAATCATTTGTTTATATCTGTGTGTATTAGGTAGAATACACTGTTGTCTATACAAAGAATTTGATACTGATTTAAACAAAATAATTTTTAAAACATATTTACAACAAGTGTCGTATTTCAGTGTTGAACAGTTGAAGCGAGTTTATGAGTCACTTAAGTAACTAACTAAACTAAAGTTGTTCACTTTGTACCGATACAATAGATGGCAAACGTTAACTGGAATGTCTGAGCTACACATGTGTTTTTCTGAAATGTGATAATTAAAAAGTCTAGGCTACAACCTCAGTGGACGTATAAGTCGTTGCAAAGGTGAAGTGACGACAAACTTAAGACCTACTACTGAGGACTTTGTCCAGAATGACAATGAAAGCTTCGGAATCAAACTATCCATTTCAAAGAACAATAAAAAAACAAAATTTTTCTGTCTTTTGGGATTATACATTTCCTGGATTATTTCAAAATATTATGATATGATTATGAGCAATAAATTGTGCTCGAAACGTCATCAGTAAACATTACTGTATAACACTGTGAGACTTTATCAAAACAAAAATTTACCCATAATGGAATTATACGCTACGACGCTGCTCAAGTTTTATTCTTATATCAAAATATTATGAATAACCAAAGCATCCGAATCTAATCTTACTGATGATTTCCTTCAATGAACTTCTGAAAAATATGTTAGGAATCTGAAGAATTTTGACATGTGTTTCTTTATTAAATATTTTTATTAGAAGTATGCAGGAAGTCTTAGATCTAAGTTTCATGCTTATTGGCATTCGTGTCACAGCAAGGCGTATCTACACCCTTGAGGGAACTCATGTCCCCTCTGAGATTCGAACCCGTGTTACCCAGTGCTGAAGTCAGAGACATTACCAATGAGCAATTTGGGCTCATGACAGACACCCTGTATTAGATGTATTAGACAATTGTGACTGGACGCGCACTAGTGTAAAAAGTGTGTAGTCCTTTGTTCGGTAGAGACTGATTTCTATTAGTCAGGTATGCAGTATGGTCACCATGATAGGTGAATCTTTGTCACTGTGCACTCATTATCAACAATCACGTAACCTGTGTACAAGGCTTCCTGTCAATTGCCACCAACTATCTAATAACAAAACATTTTGACTAGAAGGTGATGGAAAATTACCTAGCATAGTGCCATCATTGGAAACTTGAATGATGAAATTCAGCGAAGGGGCTGTTTTCGACTTATTTGTTTTCTCCACTTATATTCAGTTTATTCAAGGAAGAGGGTAGTAGCAAAAGTGATGAATTGTCACAAATAATAGTTGTTAATATTAGTCAGTGTATAAAAGATGTTGAATAAGTGTATTAGAGTTAGGCAATAAGACAAATAATTTAATGAGTGAGTTGTCATCAGGATGCAAGCAGAAACGAATTAAAATATGGAATTATGTAAGAGTTCTAGAGGAATACAAGAGTTATAAGGAATTAAAAAAAACAAATAAATAAACAAACAAATCAAGTCAGTAGAAATCAATAATCAAGTGTTTGTTTGCAGGGATTTGATTGGTTTCAGGATTTCAATGTGAACTGACATCGATTAGAAGACCATTGAGAAACCTGGGATTAATGGGCAGCTGTTTCATTCCAGTTTAGGACTTTTCATCAGTATGCATCCACTGAGTTCTAACCGAATGGCTATGGCTTCAGTAAGGCAAAAGAGACGAAAGCGTATTTCCTTTGCCAGTTTATCTTCACTCTGTAGATTACTTTGAAGGAGGCGTTTGTTGAGACGGAATGACAAGGTGTTCGATTACCGCACACCCTATAGAGCCACTAATAGCACTCTATAGCCTTGTGGGATAGTGTTCTAGCGTCCTTTTAGATAGCATACACGTCCAGTGAATGGCAACAGGTGAACTGACATGCGCACAGAGAAGTGGTAAGGTGAGGTGACTTCTCCTTAAGGATTCTGCAGACCAATGGGCAATTGCGGAACACTTATCTTAGCGTTTCTGAGAAGAATGCTCTCGAAATTGCTAAAATTCTTTCCTAAATGATATCACAGGCTAAGTCTTCCTTGAAATCCAGGTTCATGTTTCTGTTTTGAACAAGTAATGTTTCGCCCCTTTGGACTTTTGGTTTGACATTCTTGTCGATGAGTGTTGATGGGTATGCATTTTGGGGGGGGAGGTCCTTTTCAGAAGATTTAGTCCTTTTTCCAGAGCGTCAGGACTGCAGATGCGTCGAATCCGAGTGGCGAGGGATTTAATTAGATTTCGTTGTTTCTCAACAGGCACCCAACTACAGAAACTAGTCATTTGGCCGTTCCAGTTGGGTTTCCATAGACTGACCTTCTTAAGTTTCCGTCAGATTGTTTTGTTAGTCCCACATCACGAAAAGGAATTTCGGATTCATTATCCATTTTTATAGTGAATTTTATTGTCAGACGCCAGTTGTTAAACGCTTATAGCAATGCAATTGACTGGGGTCGTAACTATTATTGCAAATGACGAAAATGTCACCTATGCACATTTTATGCAGTTGTAAATTGTCAGTGGTCGACTTTAATGGACCGTTCTGAAGGATAGCTATAAAACAGTCAACTAGTGATGGACCCAAGAGAGATCCCATTGTAATACCATTCTTTTGTTTGTAGATGCTGTCACTGAATTGTACATTGAGTGTACATCTCAACAGAAATTCTCAATGTACTCACCGGTGCATTTGATGATAATCCATTCCATCTTGACACGCTGAACCCCATTGATCTGACTTACCACCGCAGCTTCAGGAAACTCATCCATAAGCCATCAGTGAGCTGGCAATTGATATTTAGATAGTAGGACTTGTAGGGAATTTCAGAATAATTTCAAATGTTAGATTTTAATCATGAATCAACATGAGTTTGAGACATTATTGGAAATATTTGTTAAAAATGTATTTATTTCATACATACATTCGTACATGAAAGCATTTTGACTAGGTGTCTAAAGGAAAAGGAAGAGACATCTGTCCATTACATCATTTTTACCAGTGGTTCTCTAACTAATGTCAGTTAATTTTTTGTACTGTCAGTTAGTGAA